CCAGCCACGGCTGCGGGGACCTCAGGTCATCTTTGGGCTCCCCAGCCACCTCTGTGGAGAGCTTGGTTCACCCTTGGCTTCCTCAAATCCCACTGCAAATTGCTTGGGTCACCTTTGGGCACCACAAGCCGGTAAATGGCCACATTTTCAAAACAGCCCAGCATGTTTCAAACCCCAGTGTATACAGGGCAGGCTGGAGCAAGCGCCATGAGAACCCGGCCAGACTTTCCTGGAAGCCTGACCCCCCTTTCTCCATGCAAAGAGAGCTAATGCAGGAAGGGCCTGAAGCCAGCTCCCTGCCACCAGCCTGTTGCGCTGGCTGGGCAGTGGTAGGTGGAGCTGCCAAGGTCAGCCTGTTTAAATAGCAGTGTGTGGTGTGCGTTTGGGGCCATTTGGAGATAACTGGCTGCTCTGGGAGAAGGGTGGGCAGTGAAATTCCCTCAGGCAAGAGCAACTTTCCGAGCAGAGGCCTCACTTTCACCTAGGCTCCCATGCCGCCCCAAAACCCGGCTCAGCAGAGACTTTTGATCAAGGGGGGAAAAGTTGTGAACGATGACTACTCTGTGGTGGCTGATGTGTATGTGGAGGATGGAGTGGTGCAGCAGGTGGGACTGAACCTCAACCCTGAGCCACCCACTGGACTCATCGTGCTGGATGCGACCAACAAGCTGGTGATCCCTGGGGGCATTGATACTCATATGCACATGCAGTTCCCTTTTATGGGTAGCAGGTCAAAAGATGACTTCTATACAGGAACAAAGGTGGGTGCACATATGCATGCCTGTGTGTCTGTCTGACCTTTCTTAGAAAGGGATATCTGCTGGTTATTCAGTGTTTCTTCTGAAAGAGAGAGTAGCGTTTGAATCAAGCACAGGTAATTGTTACTGTGCCTTGGCTGGGACATTGTAATAAGTGGTTGGGGTACTCAGAGGTCCACCTTCGACCAGTATGTTATTTGGGTTCTTTGTGACACTTTTCTGGCTGTGGGTGGCAGGTGTGAAGCGCAGTCTTTTACCCTGATTGTCGCCATGCAGACTACAACTTGCACTGCTAGGTGCAACAAGCTTCATACTTCTCTGACCAAAGGTTAACTAAAGCAACAGTTTAACTACCCAGTGCTTTGGGAGTGCTCCTCTGGTAATCTGATGTTTCTCCTCTGTTAGCATGGGGGAATGCACGCTTTTCTTCTGTCACTCACTTCTGTCCTTATTGTGTCTCTCAGTGAAAGTCCATTTCAAACACAGTTTCTAAAAGTATCTAATTTCTCCCAGTTTTACACTTGGAGTGGTTTTTTTTCAGCTTTTTCGCTGATCTCATTACATTCCCTGTATTAGCAGTGTATCAATTACTAGTGTTAACAGTATTATGCATCATCTCCATACAGTAAAAATACTCACGCAGCGCTCCCTAAAATTTGTAAGGTACTTTTCTAAGAGCTTTGCTGTGCAGGCTGAAATGCTTTGCCCACAGAAGGGATCACATTGCCCTACTTGGCTTGTCTGTTAGCCAGCATCCTCAGGGAGCCTGTTATATCCTGTCCTGCTCACGGCAGAACTGGGATTTGCTAAAAATCAGAAAGCGATGGTGCATTTTTTCTCATGTGCAAAATACTAATTTACTTCTTTGAAACAGTTGAAATAAGTTAAATTCAACTCATTTTAACAAATGATGTGGTGCAGTAACCACGCAACTATTAAGAATCTTTAAAGTTTGTAGTCCTGCTTAGATTGACCCTATTCTTTAACAGGAAAATTCATTTCTTCTTTGTCCCATCATGTCATGAGAGTGGAAGTTAGATTGAGTGGCGTAATTGTACATTTCCATACTCTAACGAAGATTTGGCTTTTTTTAATGTTGAGCCCAGAGTACTGAAGGGAGGACTACAGATGACCTGTATGCTATCCTTAAATTACTGGTATATTTCTTTCAATAACTATTTATTCCAAGTCAAGATAGATTTGCTGGTGTTCCTGCTGTTATTTGGAATGAAAATATTTTACACTGGATAGTTTTAAGCACTAGAATTGTTCTTCTCAATGAGCACAGAAGTTATTGCCTGTCAGAGTTCAAGGAGCGTCTGGATGATGCTCTTAATCATATGGTTTCATTTTAGGTAGTCCTGCGAGGAGCAGGGAGTTGGACTCCAACTTGAGATAATCTATGATTCTATGATTCTGTAGTGGCTGATAATAATAGACTATAATTATTCTGCAAAACTTTGACAAATAATTATTTTGTCCATCACAGCAGATCTTTCCTGCCATACCAAAATGCCTGCTATGTCAAACATATCTTCTCTCTCCAAGTCAAACGTAAGATAAGATATAAAAGAAAAGCTGCAGCATTGAATTTCCACCTCAGAACTGATAGACAGAAAGGAATTATAAATTTGGTCGTGGGAATTTTTTTCCCCAAACGAAGTCTTTTCCACAGCGCTCTGGTAGAAATGAGGGAATCTATTATTATATGGGCCTAACAATGCTGTCTTTTTCGTGCGTCTTTTTCATTTCAATAACTAACTGTAGTTACCGAAATGACTTCCACAAGCAGTTTTTGGTTTTCACACTGCTTGTTGTGATAAATGGAGCGAAAAAAAAAATCAAGTGCACAATGTCTGTTCTGCTTGTCTACAGACATCACAAAGTATGTTTCCTGGCTGAATGAAGTGCAGAATTTGATTTCTGGAATACTTAGTTTACATGATTTACAGTACATAAATATATATATATTGATGTTTTGTCATTTTCTGTAACAATCCTTTATTTCTCTGTGAAGACCACTTTTGTAAACTATCAACAATGTATTTAAAGATTTGACATCACAAGAGACATTAAACAGATGTGACTTGAAGCCAGAAGATAATTGTGATTAACAGGAGAAAACATGTAAAAGAAACAGCAATGACTGTGGCTTTCTCTTGGTGTAAGTGATCCATTCTTAGTGCCTCCGTTGACTTTAAAGAGAGCCAAAGATGCAGACTAACTCAGATGTAGGTGCCTACACTGTGAAGCCACAAAGCAGGGGAGATAAATTGTGTGCTAACTTGCAAAAAAAGTAAATTTTTTTATGTTTTGAGGGGGGGGTTTAATAACTTTTTGAAGCACTGGACAGGGAAGCTGCAAAACAGAGACTGTGTACACAAAACAGGATGGCCAGATAGTCACTTTGGTGCCTAAAAGAAGGCTCTAGATCCAGCCTTGTGATCAGATGTCAAAAAGTTAGATATTGTGGACCTTCTCAACCCAGGTCAAAGTGTGACAAGTGTTCAGACCTATTTACTCAAGGTCATCATCTGACAAATATTTTGACAAGAGAATCAGGGAGACAAAGTTTTGTTCCAAATGTTGCAACATATGCTGCAATGATTAGCTAAGATTTACCCATTAAGTTGAATAAATAAAGGTACAGAATACCTCTCTTTACACAGAGAGGGGAAAACAATATTAGGGGAAAAAAGACTTTGCGTGGAGTTGTGGAACCAATTACTTTTTTTTTCTTGATGTCTATAAATTAATTCTAAATACTGCTGAAGAAATAAGAAGTCAATCTGTCTTGTTGAAAAAAATTTGACAGTTTGAACAACTTCTCTTGGAGAAAATGTTTTGCTGAATTCATTACAGATTCACAAATGTTTATGTCACTCTAAATTTCTTATTTTGCAAAATATACTGACTTATTTGCAATTTTGCTTCTGAATTGCTAAGTAAAGGGACTGATTCATCTATAAATATGAAGAGCAATATAGCATGAATTTGAACTGTGTATATTTTTATCTGAATTGGTTGTATCTGTTGTGCAAAGGGATGTTGTTTAGAGCAGGATTTCTCTGGCTCATTTGGAAAACTGCAACAATTACAGCAAAGGAATTTCTATATTGAATCAATTTCTGTTAGTCAAGGATGTAATTTTTGGCAATGACTAACAAAGATTCTTCAAAGGATAAAAAAAAAAAAAAAAGGTAGTAATTCAATTGTCCATAAAGGAGAATGAAAATTATTGGTTAAAAAGCAATTTTTGATCCTCATAACATACATAAAATAAGATTTTTGTTTATTTACTTGTAAGTATATATATGGAGGATGTAAATGCCTCATTCTATTTAAAAAACTGCTATGCAGTTTTACTTAATGATACCCTATCAGTAACAAAAATAATTTTAAACCACTTTAAAAACCCTTTTGGTGTCGGACAAGAGTTTGGGAATGGATTTTCAAACTGAATCTGCTTTTTTTCATTGTGTATCTGTCCCTGAATACTTTCCTGTCACACAGGCTGTTTTTTTCAACTACGTAGACTCTGAGGAAGTATTTCTCAAGTTGGCTATGATCTTCTGGTGCTCTTCTTTTTCAGTGATCCCACCCACTTAAGGAAACTCACTGATGCATGAATGCTCCAGACTCATCTCCACATCTTTAAGATTTTGTTCATGTGCAAAACCTCCTTCATTCTGAGAATTTCTCCATGATTCTCCTGAATACCTGTTTGAGACCATCCTTCTCAAAGGACCTGAAATAAATCTCCACAATCATTTTACAAGTTCAGACTTTACTGAGGGAAACTGTTCAGTGGCTTTTGGCTTTCCAGTGTATCAAGATTAATTGTTGCACAGGGATCAGAGGAGTGGGAGGAAATTTGCATTCTCTCTGATTGCTCAATATTAACTTTCTTGCTTTCAGGCTGCTATAGCAGGAGGAACCACTATGATCATCGACTTTGCCATTCCTCAGAAAGGCTGTTCTCTAATTGAAGCCTTTGATACATGGAAAAGCTGGGCAGACCCTAAAGTCTGCTGTGATTACGCACTGCATGTGGCGGTTACGTGGTGGAGCAACAAGGTAGACACAACAGCTGATTTTCAATTCTGTGAATTGGTACTGCACCTGCTTTGAATTAGTCCTTACATGCTAAATATAGATTGCTGGCAATGTAATAGTATATTTTTGAGTGTAAAAACTACATTTGAAGTAGTCCACATCCTTCTAAAAGTACATGTATTTGAAAGAATAAAGAAAGTCTGCAGACAGCCTACATCTTTGGAGAATACTGCATAAAGTTAAAGGAAAAGAAAGTAGTTGTGCAAGACCAAGACCTGGCAGACCAGAGGGGACAAGTAGTGTTTGCATAAATTTTGCCTTTTGGTACTTGAACACTTGATAATCTATGCTCCTGTTGAGTCTTGGTGTTGTTTGCTTTTGTTTTGTTTTGTTTTTAAGGGTATAAATGAAAAATATGGTACTGTACTTTATTTGTAAGGGAAGAGTTGTATTCCTGAGTAACTGCAGTATTATCTCCTTAAAGCAGGACTGGAGCCAATAATTACTTAAATGTGAGATTATCTAAAAAGCCCTTTTGGAATTTACATATGGGAGAATCATCCTTATTGCATGAACGTTGGCTGATAACCTGAAAGCTTTACTGAATAAATTAACTTTTCAGGTGCCTGACATTTATTTGAACCTGACCCATGTTTTACAAAACCACTTTAGATCCTCAGAGAACTTGCATGAGTACATAGATATATTAAGTAAATTCCATTTTAAAATATGAAATATGAGTACTTCCTCTAATTTTTAACTTTCAAAATATATAAAACAAAGCCTTCACTCTGCAAATGCCTCATCTTTGGTATTGTGTGCACTAAGCACTAAATAGACTGACCTCAACTTCTAACTCAAAGCAAAAACTTGAAATAAGTTCTCCAGTGAAGTTTGAGGAATGTGTATTTGAAACAGCCTTAGTAGAGAACAATGGAATTCTACTGAAAAATCCAATTAAAATAGGGAGGTGTAAATCAATGAAATGTCATAGTTTATGTTAAGAACTTAACTGTTTTTAAAAGCCAAGATCAAAAGAACTAGAAAGATCTGATGTTTTGTAGCTGTAAAAGACCTGAGTAAAGATGACTTTGATATTTCATGCCCTTCTAATTTGCTATCATCTCCTCAGGTTTTAAAGTATTTATTATAAACATACATTGTTTGCAATGCCTTCCCTTAGTCATAGTAATTGGTCAAGAAGAAAATAAATAAGACATGCCTCTGTATTTGTGCCAGAGCAGGGCCTTATGTCAGGTATTTATTTGCGTGATAATTCCCACTCAAGATACATTCCCATCCCTCCTCTGGATACTTTCAGAAAATTTCCTTGAGTTTTATATCAGTCTCTCACCTTTCTTTGGCAGATACAACCAGACTAATAGAGAGAAGATGAAAAATAATGTTTTATATTTTGAAAGGAATTTGTCCCATGGAAATTGTAATAGCATCACAGATACATGTCAATTACTATCACCATCCTTTTACTGGGAAGGAAGAGTCAAAGTTAGGTAGTGGATAGTTCTAGCTAACCAGCTGCACAAGAAATCTTTGGGCTAAAATCTGCATCTTCTTTCTTTAGGACATAATATTTTGCTGGGCTTCAGAGACTCTAGCAGAAGCAGGGAATCCTATCAAGCAGTGCAAATAAGAAAAGAAGCAGGCTTGCATCTAGAGTTTTAGAGCAATTTTGTCTGACAACAAAATATTTCAAAAGGCTATGTGTTGTTTAGAGTCAGGACAAAGCTCTAGAAGATAAGATCTTTTCTGTCACTCTGTTATTTGCCAGAAGTGGAAGTCTATTACAATCCAATTTTGAAAATCAGTTTTGCACAAATCTCCATACTCTATAAGTTTGATACATTGATTGTAATATTGGGCAGTGTGTTTTCAACATCAGGAGGTTTATTTGGAATAAAATTCTACTTCACTATCTTTTGTAAAAAGCATTCCCTTCCTGCAGTTACCTTGTGCCTCCAATATCTGCAGTGGTACTAGTTTATATATTTTGAGAATCAATTTGATACAAGAAGAATAGTATAAGTCAGTCTTTAAATATGTGACTTGGGCAGTTTGGACTGAACATATGTTTGATGACTAAGTAAAAGCCCACCCTTCATACTTACAATTTCTTTATACAAAATTAACAGGTAAAAAATAATATTGCTGTTTTTTGAAAATTGCTGATGGTCTTTCAGGTAAAGGAAGAAATGAAAAGTCTCGTTCAAAGCAAAGGTGTCAACTCTTTCAAGATGTTTATGGCTTATAAAGATCTATACATGGTCAATGATGAGGAGTTATATGCAGCCTTTTCCTGCTGTAAGGACCTTGGAGCAGTTGCTCAAGTCCACGCAGAGAATGGGGAGCTAATTGCACAGGTAGGCATTTGACATTTTGTCCATCAAAGTCGGGAATATAAATGATCCTGTTATCTAAGCACTTCAATAGATATATTAGTACCATCATTGTATCATAGGGAATGGCTTTTCTACCCTATTTTACCTCCAGGGAACTGAAGACAAACATCTTGTCCCAGATCCTAAAGGATGCTTGTGGTAGGCTAACAAATTGTAACCTAGAGTCCTGGGTCCGGGGTTGGCAGGAGGCAAATGATCCTGTTATAACGAGAGTTATACTTGCTGTATAATGTATATACTTGCAATATAATATGTATACTTGACTGACAAAAAGAAAGAACCAGTCAGAGCCTGACCATCGACCAAGTCAAGGGGGGAACGCTCGGCCAAGTATTTAGACATCAGGTGTGTGATGCATTACTGTGAGTCTCTCCAAACATAGTCAGCTCATCTAAAAGGAATGGATCCAGAAGTACAGAGAAGGCTTCACTGACTGGGCACAAAGTCTCAAGGTCCCTCTGTGCATAGTTAGCTTCACTTCACTCTTGCTACTACCATCTTAGTGCTGTGTGGAGGCACTGGGAGCATAACTGCACTGATGTCTTTGAGTTTCTTCAGCTGTTCTAGTCAATAGTGCTTTGACTCTGCCCCAGGTCCCATAATGGAAATTAATTGATTGCTAAGTAATCTCAAATCAGCAAAGTATAAATTCCTGGAATTATAGTAGGGACAAAATCTTACGCCTCTTAAAACCTTGTAGCCTCCTTCAGAGGCTCTGGATGTGTATCTTTATGCTTAGTAAGGATCTTTCAATTTTTTTTTCCAATGAGGGGTTAGGTACTGTCATCTCAGTTACTGACTGCGATCGTTTAAGAGTACATATTGAGAGAGATGATAGGATTTTCAAAAGCAGTGGTTTATCCCTGCAAGCCAGTGGAGAGTGTTCTCTGAAGTCACTTAGGTATTCTGAGACTTGTGTTTATTGAGAGGTACATCGGATTTCAGCTAACACAACAATAGCTTCTCTTGAAAAAAAAATCATAACTGCCTTACTGCCTTGGGTTGGTTTATTTGGGTTTTTTTCCCCTGAAACTAGCTGCAGTGGCTGGTTTAGGATTCATTTGGCGGGCAGCATGATCACGACACCATGGTTGCACTTTAACTGACTCTTACATGTTTTTGTGTGGTGTTCAGGGTGCAAAGAAGATGCTGGCAATGGGAATAACTGGCCCTGAGGGGCATGAACTGTGTCGTCCTGAAGAAGTGGAAGCTGAAGCTACACAGAGAGCAATTACCATAGCAAATGCTGTAAACTGCCCCCTTTATGTAGTCCATGTAATGAGTAAATCTGCAGCAAGGGTGATAAGTAATGCACGAAGAGAAGGTAAAAGTCCTAATTCTTTTGTGCTTGGGCAATGGCATTGGAGGAAGGGTCATGGAAAACCAAACACAGAATCAGTGTCCTACCTGTCATGAGTACCATAACCCTCAGAACATGAGTGAATTTCTTGGAGTGGGATGTCTAAACTGTGTGTGTGTGTTGTGGGGCCCAAGGGGAGCTAAGCAGTGTGGAAGAACAGCAACCGGGATTGAGACTTTCTCTTCTCCCCAGCACAAACTTTTTTCTCCTTCATACTGTACCTCAGAGGTCAAAGTGATGGCCAGAACAGCATTATTGCATTAAAAATGATGTGACCAGTCCAAGACTACACATGCTCTGCTATTACCCTCCCTGGAGTTACAGTCTGCAAGCCAGCTATTTAGATGAGAAATTCTACAACGGAGACCACACCATGTTTTTACAGACAGTGCCATGACAGGACCAGGACTCCTATTCACTGAGCACTTAGAAATTGTGGTGATGATGGCACTGTCTGAAAGCCTCAGTTCCCTCCAGGGAAGGGTTTTTCAGGTCATGCACTGCAGGGTTCATAAATAGTTCTGGTCAGCCAAGGGAGCCTGATCCCCTTGACCATCTGTTGGGCAGGCTAGAAGCAACTGGAAGGCTGTAGGAATTCAGAATGTTTTGCCTCCTCATCTGTAAGTTCATCCAGAACCAAAGTGCTGTGAGGAGACATTATATGGGTGGAAGGAACAGGACAGAGGCCCATGATTTGGAGGGCCTAAAACTTTATGGAATGTCTGTCCTCATCTTTTTACATCTCAGCTTGTGTTCATCTGACCTAACATGAATTGGATACAGACCTCAGTTTCCTTATTTCTTGACTTTAGATAATGCTTGCATTGGAGGTGTAGATTATTAATATCAAAATGTATCAAAAGAGTATGAGAGTTTGACATAACCCGGCAATGTGCGCTTGCAGCCCAGAAAGCCAACCGTATCTTGGGCTGCATCAAAAGAAGCATGACCAGCAGGTCAAGGGAGGTGATTCTGCCCCTCTGCTCTGCTCTGGTGAGACCCCACCTGGACTACTGCATCCAGCTCTGTGGTCCTCAGCAGAGGAAAGACATGGACCTGTTGGAACAAGTCCAGAAGAGGGCCACAAAAATGATCAGAGGGATGGAGTACCTCTCCTATGAGGAAAGGCTGAGAGAGTTGGGGTTGTTCAGTCTGGAGAAGAGAAGGCTCTGGGGACACTTTATTACAGCCTTTCAATACTTAAAGGGGGCTTATAAGAAAGATGGGGACAAGCTTTTTAGCAGGGCCTGTTGCAATAGGACAAGGAGTAATGGTTTTAAACTAAAAGAGGGTAGATTCAGACTAGATATAAGGAAGACAATTTTTTTTTTACAACGAGGGTGGTGAAAAACTGGAACAGTTTGCCCAGAGAGGTGGTAGATGCCCCCTCCCTGCAAACATTCAAGGTCAGGTTGGATGGGGCTCTGAGCAACCTGATTTAGTTGAAGATGTCTCTGCTTATTGCAGGGGAGTTGGACCTTTAAAGGTCCCTGCCAACCCAAACTATTCTATGATTCTATGACAAAAGTGCAATCAAAACCAGCATGATATCATTATGCTAATAAAAATGGATATGTTTATGTGGAATATGTATTGATTATGACTTCTAGTAAGACTTATCAAGACTTAATTCAAGTTTATAAAAGAATCTACCAAAACATTTTTTACTAGCACCTCTTTTGGTACAGTGCTATACTAGATTCCTCCACTAGATGACAGTGCTGCTGGTAATGTGGATTATATCTGTCAATGTAAGGTTATTTGTACATTCACAGGTGTGGCACCAACATTAACTGCAAGAAGCTGTAACAACAGTTCAGATACCCAGATTAAAGATGAAACACTGACTGTGAACATAAAAAGAGCTAAGATAGGAGGTGGTGTTTTATAACACACTATTCAAGTACAAAATTCTATGCTGATAGTAAATACTGTAAAATATTGTGTTGTAAGAATAGTCTGCAGTGCCAGTATAATAACTGATGTGATAACAGTATGCTTCTTCAATGTGTAAAAAGAAGAAATTTGTACAACTTATGCTTACTGTAGTGCAAATTGGATTTTATAGCTTCCTGGGTTCATGCAGTCAGAATCATCACTGCTTGCCTTTGTTAACAGCAATGTATAACATCTCTCCATAATTAATTTCTGTTTGCACAGAAGTATGCTATTTAGGAAACAGAAATCTAGGATTGATTAAGAAATTTTGAAAAGTAGCTAGTGTACTACAAAGATAGGTACAACAATTATAGTTTTTAATGAGACTATCTGTATAAATTCTGGCAATTAGAAATTAATTCAGGTTAGTTTCAGTAAAAGTGGCTCTCTGTTCTTAAAAGTGGTAATACAAAACAAGGAGTTCCAGACAAAAAACTTAAATTCTCTAAGTACTGTATGAATGACATAAATAAAACCCAAATACACTGCTGAAAGATATTCAACTTAATTCAACTGAGCTCCAAGCTCAGGAGCGATGCATCCCAACA